TTAGATAGATAGATAGATAGATAGAAGATAGATAGATAGATAGATAGATAGATAGATAGATAGATAGATAGATAGATAGATAGAGATAGATAGATAGATAGATAGAATAGATAGATAGAATGATAGATAGATAGATAGATAGATAGATAGATAGATAGATAGATAGATAGATAGATAGATAGATAGATAGATAGATAGATAGGATAGATAGATAGATAGCTAGATAGATAGATAGATAGATAGATAGATAGATAGATAGATAGATAGATAGATAGATAGATAGATAGATAGATAGATAGATAGATAGATAGATAGATAGATAGATAGATAGATAGATAGATAGATAGATAGATAGCTAGATAGATAGATAGATAGATAGATAGATAGATAGATAGATAGATAGATAGATAGATAGATAGATAGATAGATAGATAGATAGAAGATAGATAGATAGATAGATAGATAGATAGATAGATAGATAGATAGATAGATAGATAGATAGATAGATAGATAGATAGATAGATAGATAGATAGATAGATAGATAGATAGATAGATAGATAGATAGATAGATAGATAGATAGATAGATAGATAGATAGATAGATAGATAGATAGATAGATAGATAGATAGATAGATAGATAGATAGATAGATAGATAGATAGATAGCTAGATAGATAGATAGATAGATAGATAGATAGATAGATAGTAGATAGATAGATAGATAGATAGATAGATAGATAGATAGATAGATAGATAGATAGATAGATAGATAGATAGATAGATAGATAGATAGATAGATAGATAGATAGATAGATAGATAGATAGATAGATAGATAGATAGATAGATAGATAGATAGATAGAATTTAGTTAAACCAATTAAAAACAAAAACCCTAACTGAATAATTTCTTAACTTCTTTATATGTACCACCATCGAAAGTTCTAAAAAATATGGCCTGGATATACGAAACATAACAGCCGGATCTCAATAAAATACACTTTAAGCCAAAGCACTAAAATTTTCCTTGAGCATACAAGCCAAGAACCTTTTGAGAAAAGTTTATGGGCACCAACTGGTTTATGACCACAAATTATTTCTTATACATCATGTGTGTATTTTTGGTAAATATACCATTAGCTTTGATTTACGATTTCCTATTGATGTTATCGAAAGAAGAAAGAATGTAAGTGATTTAATTGGAAATAAACTAGTAAAACATATACATATAATATGATGAATTATTTTCTATTTAAGGGTTTTCAAATTGATGCGTAAATTTGTTTACACTTCAAAAGCTGTTGGAAAGTTTTCACGCGTATATTTTGAATTTCAAAATGATGGCATGTGGGAACTGGTTAAACACATACCGGAAAAAGAAATGTAAGTTTTAATTGGGGGCTAGTAGTTAAAAAAGAAATAAAATAATAATTGTGATTATTTATTTGGTATAGAACAAAGTTTGGTAATATTACTAAAGCTTTCGAAAAAGATTATATTGAGACCATGAAACGTAAGTAGAAATTGGAAAAAATAACTATTATAATAATCTTTGAATAAATTATTAACTATTTATTTTCTTTTCTCAGAACTAAGAGATGGTGTGAAAAAATATATTTTTAAGGAGCCACTTAAAGCAACACCAGCTACTCAAAGACGCTATAAAATCTTAATTATATTAGACAGAATTATAAAAGTGTTAATAATTTCAATGTTTGTAGGTTTGTTATGGAAACTGGTTAATTAAAATTAAGAATAATAAATGAAGAAAGGGATTTTTAAAATAATAATAATAAAACCAAAAATTAAATAATTGTTTATAAAATTTAATATAAATGTTTATTTTAATACAAAAGAACTGTAAGTATCTATTACAATTAATTAGCAAAACTTAATAAATTATAAATTTAATTGATAAACTCTAACCAAATAATCTTCACCACAGCTGGCCAATTGGAATTGCTTGTTGTCACCGGTTTGGGGTCTAAATTGTAAACGTTTAACGGTCAAATGATGAGATTGTCTGCAAAATAATAAAAATGATCGATCATACAAATTGTTTTGAAATTTAGAAAAAAATCAGTTTACTTACGATTTATTAAGTGACAATAATAATGTAAATTTATCCTTAAATTGATAGACATGTATTAAACCACTTTCACAACCCAAAGCTAAAATATATGCACCATTCTCATGAAGTGAATGAGCAAATGTTATTGCGGTAATGGATTCATTTTTAAGTTCTAAAACATCCAAAGACTTCCAACCATTTAGAGTGTTTTTATTATCATCTTTTGTTTCTGTCTCTTCTGTTTTATACCATATTACAACTTTACCCTCCCTGGAGGAAGTGGCAAAATATTTACTATCATGTGACCAATCACAGGACCATATAATGCGTGTGTGTACACCATTTGTTTTATCTGTACAGGCTGTCAAAGCAAATGAAGCCACTTTATTTGTATCATTCTCCAATGGCTGACGTTTAAAGAGAGACCATCTACGATCACGTGAAACGGAGAGCAAATATTCGCCATTTGGTGAAAAACGCATTTGTGTTACCGTTAATTGATGACCGGATAATTTTTGTATCTGTTTCCATGTGGCAGTATTCCAGAGAATTATTTGAGCATGTTCGGCATTGCTAGACTTGCAAGATGATGCCAATAATGAGGCATCCGGTGAGGAGGCTAAAGCATAAATTTCATAACCATGACCATAAAGTTTCTGTACCTCTGGCCATAGAGTATTTTGCATTAGGGTTTCTTCTTGTGGTGGCGCATTTAGGGTAATGGGTATGAAATAGTTTTCTGGATATTCATCTTTAACATGACGTTCTTCAGTGGCTGGATTTTCCACTGTATAAACGGCTTTATTGGATAAGCCTAGTGAAGGCACTGAAGCTCCTTTGGGCAAAGCTTGATATTAAAATGAAATTTTCTAATTATTTACGAGAGATAAGGAGGGTGGGATGAGAGCTGATAGTGAGAATGTTTAATGTTTGTGTTTCTGATTGAGGTTTTCATACGGAAAACAGAGTTTCTTTTCACTTTTACTTATTTTTGTTTATTCACACAAAAATGTACTATTCTTAAAACTTTTAAATAACTTGCATTGTTAGTTTGTTCAACAGGAGAATTTACCCTTCAACATTTTCGGATACATCTCAATCATACATATAATACTTTTCCTAAACATAATGCATATCATATAAAAGGTCTTTCGAATATCTTAATTTTCTTTTCAAACGTATAACGCTAAAATACCTATAGACCTATAACTTTTAAATACCTTTAGATCTGCAAAATATTCGAAATTCTGCAATCAGGATTTTTTTCGGAATTTTCTTTATATCTGTGAAATGGTTTCGCTGATTTTCAATAGAAAAATTCTCAAAAGCATGTCTGATAAATTATATAAAAAATTAAACAAACATACCGACAGATAGAAGGACATTGCTAAATCGACTTCACTACCTACAAGTTTTCAATAACGATATTAGAAATGTTGCAAACGGAATGACAAACTTATATATAAGCTACTCAAGAATGTAAATATCAACCAGGACTCAAATCAGAAGTAAATAGTTATATTCCTATGACAATACTAAAGACATTCCTTATTAAACCTCTTCTGTGATATCTTTCAATGATTATTTTGCGAGGAAATAAATGAAAATGATTTGATAAAATGCATAATAAATTAAAAGAAAATATAAAATAAAAAATTTCCACTTACATTCCAATAGTTGATCACCTTCTATATCTTCCTCCACTTTGGTAATACGTCTAAAATTCTCGATGAAATTAGCCGAAGCCTGGAAAGTTCTAACAATTTTCTCCTCAGCACCGCTGGCAAATTTATAGCGTGACAGTAAAGCTAAAGCTTGCATATCATAACCATGCACTTGAGGACGAGCCAATTCATGCCAAGTTTCTGCATCATGACGCCAAGGTGAGTGGATGCGTGTTGTCTGATCGGCCGAAACACTCATAACATATTCACCTTGTGGCTCCCAAGCCAAATCGCGAACCTCACCAAAATGACCGCCGACATTAACTTGTGGCAACCAGAGGGCTTCATTATCCTCGGATTGTTTCCAGATGTGGAAACCACCCTGATAACTGTGACCCAGTACGGATTTACCATCGCAAGAGAATTTGCCACCAAAGAAACCCAATGAATTGCCACCAACTTCACCCAAGCGTACCTTTTCCATCCATATGCCACTTTCTTCAGAAGGCTGCCATATGATCAGGGTCTTATCAATCGAAGCAGAAAGCAAACTTAATGACTGCTCATTAGATTTATACCAATTAACACCATACACCCAATTATCGTGACCATATAAAACAGACTCCAAACTAATGGCATACCAGGAATCATCCGATAGCTGGAGAATTTTCTCTTCCACCCTTATTTCACCGGTGGCTTCATCTAATAAATTGAATATATCAACCTTATTGTTAAGCACCTGTTCGGCAGTTCTGGGTGCAATACGCCACAAACGTATAAAATTATCTTGTGAGGAGCTGGCCAATAACAAATCATCTCCCTCTTGAACAAAATCTAAGCCACGTACCCAATCTTCATGACCCAATAGCTTATGTACAGGTTGAAAATTAAATTCATCATTTGCTGGTTGGGCAACATCTTCAGCCCATAGCGCAACACTTTCATCATCAGCAGTAAATGCTAGTAAAATTTGTTCGGACTTGGGTAATAGGCTGAGCCTTAAGGTGAAACAGAAGCCAGTGTTTAAATGTAAAGTTTGTTTGCAAATGGGTTCCGCACCATTTGGTCCAAAAGACCACAATTTTATGGTCGAATCAGCAGCAGCAGTGGCCAGTAACCATTCACCATTCGAACGCTGTAAACCATCCACAGCATTAACACCACTTTCATGGCCCTTAAGCTCAAAACTCTTGACATCATCATCAAGATTTTCTATATTCCATAATATGGCCAATTTGTCATCCGATCCAGACAGACAATAAATTTCTTTATCCTGTTGCTGTGACTTTAACCATCTAACGGTATTGACTCTTTTGGTGTGTCTAACAAAGGTGTGGGTTATTTTTGCGGAATATTGTTTAAACTGAAAATGGAATTTAATTTTAATATAAGGCCGGCATTTGTTAGAAATTTCTTACCTGTGGATCATAAATGGCTACAGCATTACAGGCTCCAAATACTATTAAACCATTGTGCCCCAGTCAGCACTTTCTGTGGTACGATTGCAGCCGATAGAAGTGTAAATATTTTCGACACTCATTTTATTGTTTTCTGTCGAAATAGTTAATTTTCGATACAAACCGCACGTGTTGTTGTTAACAAAACAAAACTGGACATGCAAATGATTTGCACGGAACAAGGCCAATTCACATAAGGTGGTGTTATTCAATCAGCTGATTATTTTTTTCTTCACTTGACTCAGGGAGAATTCACATAAGGTGGTGTTTTTCATTCAGCTGAGAAACTCCGTACCGCGAGAGAAATGAATGATATTCTTTCTCTCTCACGCAAAATTTAAAGTTTCCCAAAAAAGTTTCCTAGTGTGTACCGGCAGTTATTGTTTAGATTTTTATATTTAAAAATTTCACTTAAAACAGAGTTTTAAACTACTAACGAAGATTTTCGTTAGTATATGTAAAAAACTGAAATAACAAGCGTTTTATAAACAAATATTTATCTTATATAAATAATGAATAATTGGTACACATGTACCGACTTAATATAATAATAATATTTTTTCTATTAAATGTTAACAAATTTAACAATATTGTTCCGGAACATTTTATATAAAAAAATCCACATGAGCTATTAACCCGACCTGCGGCAGCTGTCTTATAAGTTATGGTCAAATTTTCAGATCTAAAAAATTTTAATAAATTGTTTTATATTTACACTGTGTATATAAAGTGATTAACTAACAAAATTCTATTCCGGAACGCTTTTTATAACAAAACCCATATGAGGTATTTACCCGTCCGGCGGCAGCTGACTACAGCGTGTAAATCTTAAAAATTACTCCGCCGGAGTAGATTTTTCCACATACAACAAAGATTCTTTATTTCGGTATATAATTTTTCCATAATATTCCATATTCTTCACAAATTTTAATATTTTTATGTGTATTTTTTTATAAAATATAAAAATTTCACATAATATTATCATTAAATGAATTCGTTGTTAACGAACTGCCACCACCTTATCTGAATTCGCCGTGTATATGTAGTTTGACTGATTATTCGACAACCCTTTTATTCAATTTGTATTCAGCAGGAATGGAAAGTTGAATTTAACTTTATTACAAAATAACATTTTTAAAGTACTTCATTTATTTAAAAGTACAAAAAATGTACAATTTACTTAAAAAAAATGTTCTACAACCACTTTTTTTTAATAAAACATCAAATAAGTCTCAGAAATAGAAAATATTCAATATGAAAAAATTGCCAACGTATTGTATTTTCCATCCCTGCTATAAACTGTCATACTGTTTCATTCAACTTCATTCCATTAAATCTTAACTAAATCATATGTGTTCATAGAATATTTGGAAAAAAATTCTCTTCTTCTAACTACTCCCTCTGCAAAACAGAAGTAAATTTTTGGAAAATATTACATAAAAATGGTGCAAAAAAGTAATCCAGCTGTAAATTTCTTCAGAAGCATTTACCACAACGAATTTCAATGGCAAGTTTTTCCTCATGAGATATTTTTATTTGACAAAAACTAACCTCATTTTTATATGTTTTCAGGTCTGTGGTAAAAAGTTTTGGTTTATTCT